AAGAAGCAAGAACAGAAATGAAAGCCTTAATGAAAACCATTTTTGATAACTATAAATTGAGGATAAATGAAGTTTTTTTAAGTGATATGAATAAAAAAATATTACAAAAGTTGATACCCGAATTAATAAAATCCATGGCCCCATGTTTTAATTTCTTATGAAAGCAAATAAACTAATGGTTATGTACTTTATATTGCCATAAGAAAGGAAGATAACAGAAGATAGAAATTGGAAAAATGGAAGCAGACAATTATTGCTTACATGCAAATAGTTAGTTAAACAAAGTAAGATTAATAATATTCTGCATTTATATTATCTTTAAGTATTAATTTTTAATGAATTATTAAAAAAAGAATATGAAGAATTAAAAGCACACAATTACTTATTGAATAAAGGTCAAAGAAAGTTATCAAATATTGAAATAAATAATTAATATAATTAAAGAAACAAAAGTACATTACCTGAAGAAAGTGACATTGATCTGGAAAACCTTACTAAAAGAAGAATAAATGTATATAATTATAGTTAACATTCTGAAGAAGTATTTTTTGACAAAATATTATATGCTGAATAATTACAATATTAATCATAATTACTTCTTATAGTTAAAGAATTTGTTGATATATTTGGATAAATATTCGAAATCAATTCAAGCATTTCAGCTGACTCGTAAATAATATTGTGATGATTCATATTTTTATGACATGATACCATCAGAAGTCTTGCCAAATTGAATATATAGGTTGAAAGAAATTTTAGAATATGAATAAGAAAAAAAAACAGGAAAAGAAAAAAAATAGATAGTTAAATCCAAAAGACGAAAAATTACTGAATATAAGGAATCATTAATGTATTCAGAAGGTGAGAAACAAACTGGGGAAAGTGCATGAATGGGTAAAATTCAGGAAACAGTTAAATTAGAAGAAAAAAGTGAAAAATCTTGAAAAATATTTGATAAGGTAAAACCAATTGGAATTAGTTTTAAAAGAGTCAAGTCAAAATGTTTAAAGGAAAAAGAAAAGTAAGTAGAAAAGGAGGAAGAGGGGGAAGAGGAAGAGGAAAATGATGAATAATTTAGTTGATTGAATTTGTAATTTTTTAATAAATTTCATTAAATTTAAATTTTTTGCCACAGTAATTTTTTTACTAAATTTTTTACCGCAGTATCAATTTTTGCTAAATTTTTTTTCACAGTAATTTTTTGTCAAATTTTTTGTCACAGTAATTTTTTTGCTGAATTTTTTGCCATAGTATTAATTTTTTTGCCAAATTTTTTACTGCAGTATGCAAAAAATTTTTTTGTTACAGTATTCAAGAAATTTTTTTTTTGTTACAATATTGTCAGATTTTGTGTTAAATTTTTTTTTTGCAGAATGCTGATATTTTTTTGTCAATTTATTGCTGATATTTTTAATGCTAAGTGGCAACAATCATAAATAATTTGTCAATATTTTTATTATTAATTTTGCCAAATTCAACAATAATTTGATAGTCAAATAACATAATTTCAACTAGTGATAGCTTCAGAAATCAAAGATTTGACAACTGATCAATTTAAAAAATGAAACAAGTATTAATAGAAGATTGGGAACAAGAAATACTTAGAGACAATGTTAAGCAAAGAGTATATTAAGATTATCTACTTGAAATTCTCCAATGCAATTAAGGATCACAAAAGAAGCTAATTTTTTACTCTGATGAATCCTTAATCGACCATGAAAATGAAAATGCAAAAATGGGTGCAGCATAGATACAAATAGAAGGAGTTGGAAAAGAAAGTAAATTTCAAACAGGAGTCAAAAACTGGTTCTCATCTACAAGAACAGAACTGGTGGTACTAATTATAATAGCTTTAGTAACTTTGATAGACAGTACAGTTAAGATCTTCACAGATAATTAAGTTTGTATCTCTAAATAGAAAAAGTTAGAGAAAGAAGATTCAAAGATGACACATAAAAGATGACTAAAAGAAAAGAATTGGTCATTATAGATGAGAATGCTAGATCTTGTAAAGAAAAAGCATATCCAACTAATGTTGATTAAGATTAAAGTCCACTTTAATGATCTATGGAATAAAGAAGCAGACTGACTGATCAAAGAGGCTTTAAAGCTATTAGCAATAAAATGGAAGAGTCTCAAGTCAAGCAAGATATCTACAAAAACTATATAATAAGAAGAAATAATAGATAGTTCAATACAACAGTTTATTAAACAAATCAATAAAAGATCAATGGCTCTATTATGGATACAACAACATAGAACAGAGATAAAATAGTATCACCAAGTTCACAAGTATCAAATCTACTTATGGGATTTGGTATGGGATATATTAAAAAATAGAAATACATGGGATACCTTTTTCAAAAACTCGCAGAGAAGAAGCTTCCTGATTAAATTGATCAATAATGAACTACCTACTTTAAGTAAACTAGTAATAAAAAGACCAAACCTATATAAGCAAGCAAGATGTATAGCATGCAATCAACATCAAGAGAAAATAGAACATTTATTAGAATATTCTAGTCATAAGATTGAGATTCTAGCAACATGTTAAAAAGGATCTGAGACTTTTCTTAAAGAATTTGATAAGTTGTATCAAGAGAAAAGTAGATAAAAAAATAGTACAACTAACAGTCAATAATAAAAGAGAAAAAGTTGAATTAGATAAATAAATCTCTAAACTAATAAAATCAGTCTCGCAAACTGGTTCGAGTACTCTTAACTTTTGCATAGGATTAGTAGAAGGTGATACAATCAAAGAAGCTACTAACCTAAATTGTTATGGAAAGAAACTAGGAACAATGGCAAAAAAATAGATTCCAAAAGTACTAAAAAAGATTTACAATCAGATTCGGAAACAAGTTTGAAACATAAAATATGAAAAAATCATTAAATGAAAATAAGAACAAAGAATTGATAGAAGAGCAAAATACAAGAAGATTCAAAAAGCAAGAAAACAAGATCTGTAAGAAAATTTTAGTCATAAAAGTACAAGGCAAAGAGAAGAAGAGAAAGAAAGTAAAAACAAAAATCTTGTGGAAATTATAGAAATGTAATTAAATATGGGATGAAGTGATTGGGTTTTGATCCTTGTTAGAACCTTGTGCAGTGATCTGCAGCAGTGACTTGTGGGTGATGATGTTAGAAGTTGGAAGGGTTTCCATCCGAACTACTAACGGAGCAATAAATTACTTCTGAAGTTACACTTAGAGTCCTAGATAAATATAAAATTTTAACAAGTGAGTTAGTTAGAGATTTAGCTTTAGCAACACATATATAATGTATAACATACAATTGTTTAATAAAGCACACATAACTAGCTTGACAGAGGGTTAAAAAAAAATTGAAAAGAGATTTATGATGTATTGAATTATCTAAAGAGCATTAAAATTATATACTGTATACAGTATATACTATATATATATTTATATATTCTTTTTCTTTAATTTTTATTTTGTTCAACATTACAGAAAACAATTGACTTTAACAATTAGTAGGCAATATTGTAAGTTATTAAGAGAATATTTGTTTAAAGTATTCGTGAAGCATCATATTATTTCCATGTTTAAAGATTTTAGCTTAAGATAAGAATACTAAGTAATTTATTGATGGGTTATGGCAAATAATAATAATAATGCGAAGGTACACAAACAATTGTTGTCGCCAGTACTTGCGAAATGACATAGCACTGTGCCACCACCACAAATCTATCGTAGACATGCATTGCTAATTTTGAAAAACATAAAAGTTTGTGTCATTGCTGGTAAGGTGATTTTTGCAAGGGGAGTGTACAAAAACTGATCTACTGATAAAATAACCTTTCGAGATACTCTCTAGTCTGTATAAACGTTAATACAGTGAGTAATCCTTTTGAGGCAATGGGAGAGATTTTCGAGATCGTATCAAACAAACAAATCAATAAAATCGTTCACCTTGGTCCAGAAAATTTTAGTCGAACTATAAATTTGTAGGTAGTCCAGAAGTGACTAGTAAGTAGTAGAATTGATCATGTCAGTTATAAAATTAATCGTGAATTTTACATACATATGTATAGAATGAGGTCGGGAAAATTCTCTAATTAATAATTGTACAACCTCTTCATTCGAATACAGTATTTATTACGCACAATACATTGATTTGTGCTGAAACTGCATATTAGATCATCTTTCTATGCATTCCTTCCATGATTCCAATGGTTTAATGAGCAACCAAATGCTGCACGACTCGCATCTCGCGTAAATGTAATCAATGCTCGTGTGACATCAGCTTTGATAAATGCATTCAACTTTAAATGTAGCTGTCTGGTTACATCTTTGAGTTCTTTTTTTTGCTTGCCCTGTCGCTTCAAGCTAACTGATACTTGGTGAGTGACATTGGACAGAAATACAGTATTTCAACCAATGTTTTTATTAATTCTATCGAGTTTCTCGTCAGAATTAATTGACATGTTTTTTTTTTTTTTCTTTACTCAAGAAAGACCGGACCCACAAATACCTTCCACTCTCCTTTATACTCGCGGTAATATTGGATATTTTCAAGTCGGCTCTACAGTAAGCGTCCTCCTTGTTTTATAAGCTTCTACTCCAAATTCTAAACTTCCTCATCTCTGTTTTTTTTTTAAATATCAGGACGTCTACATATCTTAGACAGGCAGTAAAAGTATACATCGATATCGGCTTTATTTGTAAGTTTCCATACTTTTAGAAAAAGAATTACATGATAATTTAAAGCTTTGCTGGGTATATGCATTTTGTGTCGCATCTGAACTACAAGATAACCTAACAATTTTTACTATAGGTGAGATCATGTGCATGTCTTTATACCGGCTTATCTATTTGATAGTTTGAAAAAAATTTTATTTTTTAATCATCTCAGGTTAGTTTCGGGTGTTTGGATGTTTACGTTTCTTTGTCGTTCTTTCTCTTACCGAACATTCATCATTAGATTACAAACAACTAATGTCGCGAGGCGACTCAGGATACATGAGCCATTACGGTTCTATATATAGCTCTAAGTCAGATGGTAGTGTCCGCGAGAGCTACGATACTTTAGATGACGGAAATATGTATGATATTTTTTCGGGTCTAACGCAGTCCTCCTTTTCTGAGAAGAGGAATGAACGCGATGATAATGATTCAGTCAATCACCAAGCACTTCAACCATTCAGAGATTATAGTTCCGCCGATCATAGACCAACAACGCCACAGTACCCTTTCCTGCAGCAAGAACCATCTTTATATGAAAATCAAAATGAACAAGCCCAACCACAATCTCATAGAACATTGAGAAAATATCCTTCGAGTCCCTCACTTAATCGTGCAGTGCAGACAACTGCTCCAACACTCTCAAGATTCCCATCTTCTCATCAGGCCTCACCATCCCAACAGATTTCACCGCCCCAACAAATTCCACCGTCTCATTCTCCACGATTATCTCCAGCTTCTACTTCAAAAAATTATTTATCGTCTCCTTCCCCTTCTCCACGACTATCTCCGGTACCTTCCCCATACAACAGCCATCCATTTACAAATTCAGCCGCTCACTCCCCACGATTGTCCCCTGTATATCTACCAAACAATAATTCAAATGTAAATTTAACTTCCCATTCTCCGCGATTATCTCCAGTTTATTTGGCAGGCAACAACCTTTCACAGGGAAATACGCTCAATCCTCATCAGTATAACCAAACTAAGACCCATGTACCTTTGCAAAACGGCGATCCATATTCCGATCATGCCTCACAAGGTCGAAATCACAAATCGATGCCTGCAAATTCCATTAAAATTAACAAAATCATCCCGACCCGTTCTAACACGCATGATGGTCAGTTAAAGCCTCCCGTTCTACCCCAGATAGACGACAATTTAGGAACTTCTGATTTTGCCGAAATTCATGATTTCATTGATCACTATTATGACTCTGATGATAAAACGACGACAAGGACTCCGACTGAAGCTAATAGTTCCGAAGGTATTCTTATTTATTTGTTAATTTTTTGAATTGGGACAATATTGACGAAATTAAATTCCCTAGGACTTGCGGCAAAAAATCGCAAGCGAGAAGCGGCCGTTTCAGAAATACTTACAACTGAAAGAACGTATGTCGATGGTTTACGAAAACTTGTAAATATTTTCTTGCTACCATTGCAAGAAAATTTCAAGTATTCCCAAAAGGCTGGTCTACTATCTTCGAAGCCTGTAACTTCCATGGAAGAAATTAACTCAATATTCAGTAACATCATTCCGTTGCTAAGTTTGCACGAACAGCTGCTCAAGTCATTAGAAGAGAGGTAATCGAATCAATCTATTGATCAATAACAACATTGTTCATGCCTATTAAAAAATTATTATTATTATTATTTTTTTTGGAAATTATTTTTGGAAATTAGAATGACAAAGTGGAGCCCAACGGAAATCATCAGTGATGTGTTTTTGCGAATTGTAAGGATCTTATTTTTCAAACGGCACATTTATAGTTGAAGCTAAAGTAATCATTTTTTTTCCTTTTCGTAAATCAGGCACCCTTTCTGAAAATGTACACTACTTATCTACAGTCCTTCCCGCATGCAATAAATACACTGGAACGCCTCAACAAGGAGAACAAGGACTTCAAAAAATTTCTTCAGGTATTTTCAAATCTTTGTTTTTCAACATTCCTTCTCCCATTCAACATGAGAGTTTTTCGTGCTGATCACGTGATGCATGATGCCGAATCTTTCAACAGTTTTGTCAAGGAAGACCTGAATTGGGAAATTTACCTTTTAACTCTTTTTTGAGTTTGCCGATTCAGCGAATTCCGCGGTACAAATTGTTACTGGACGCCCTAATAAAACACACCGACGAATCGCACCCAGACTATGCGAATCTCCAGAAATGTTTTCGGCAGATTACAGAGATCGCCGACGAAGTAAACGAAAAGTTAGGATCCATTTTAACATTCTGCTTTATTTGACTATTGATATATGCCTGAAGCATCATGATAACCCTATAATTTACATACATTGTAGAATCCGAGATGTCGAAAATCAACAGAAGGTATTAGAAATCCAGTACAAAATTGATGGCCTAGTAGGAAATATAGTAGATCCAGCTCGAAGGTTCATTTATGAAGGTGCATTGTATAAAGTTATAGCACAGAGTGATCAAATGAAACCAAGGTTCCTAGCAACGCAGGAAATACGGATACATTTTCTATTTAGTGATTTGCTCATATTTTGCTCGTATGTCCAAGGAAAGCTTACATTTAAAGGGAAAATCGACTTAAACCGCGCGTCAATAGTAAATCTTGCGGACGATGATGCAGATGAACCATTTTGCTTTCAGATAATTGCCATAGTGGCCACGGGAGAAGAGAAGTATACGTTTCGAGCTAGATCTGCCCGTGAGAAAGCAGAATGGCTCGATAAACTCGAATACGCCTTATCCGGACTCAAAAATGTGATAAGAGGTCAAAAAAACACCGAAACACGTGAGTTTATAATTGTCAATATTGTTCTATAATTGGCGTATGCATTAAATATTTCTTAAACTCTTCTATTCTTCTATCAGGCGTTCCATATAAACAGGCGGCTTTAAGAGCTGCTGACGATTTATTTATTGGGTCGAATAGAAATAATCGAAAAATGAGGGAGTTAAGACCACAGGTCTCCCACGGAAATTTAAATAAAGCGTTCGATTCTCATTAAATTATTGCATAATTTAACGATTTTGTATCATTACTCTTTCTGGTTTAGAATATCACCTTTTTATATATGTAATTTTTAGAATAGAATAATGCATATATTTGTATTCATTTAAAAATTAAAATTAGATTTCATGAATGAGGCCTTTGGAAGGATTGCCGACTTAATTGATAAATCTAATCTGAATATAATTGTTAACTCTATTTTTTATAGTAGCACTTATTTTCTAATTGTGATACTTGTAAACATAGCTTCGTGAACAAATTAATATTTTTATTAATATTTATTATGTAGTAATAAAGAAACAATATTTTCGCACTTCATGTGAAAATTGAATAATTAATATTGTATTTTTTTTTTTTTGCAATAACCCATTAAGCCAGGCCAGTAGTATGTGTTTATTATATTCATTGACTACTTAGTAAATAGACCAACTCTCTTTTCTCTCCAGTACCTCTTTTGTTGTATACAAAGTTTTCTCCTCTATTTAATCTTGTATAATTCATGTTTTTATATACAGTATAGTCTTACTTGAAAGATAGAACTATAATAATTGAATAAAAACCCTTAACCAATCAAATTATAATCTGATGAACACATTTCTTTTCAATTTTCTTCACACTAGTAATCTTTTTACTAGTTCTCTTATCTTTAAAAAAGGTGACAAAAAGTCACAAGGTAGGATTTTTCCTTATCAAGTTTTATCTGGATAGCAAAAGTAATCTGTTTATGTTATTGTATATAATATTTATTAAATTTCAAATAAAACAAGGTTAAGCTAGTAATTAAAAAAAAAAAACAAAGTTATATATATTCAATGATGAATTCAAAACCTTAAAAATATAAACTCAAAATACATGATCAATAGTATTATTAAAGATTATAAAAAAGTATTTTATCAAATTTCTTATCTTTTTTTTTTTTAATTTATAATTATATAATATGACTTAATCTTTGAAAAATTTATATAACTATCTACAATATTATAGATTTCATTAGTCAAAAAATATTTATTTAGCATAATATCACTCAAATAACATTATCAAAAAAATAAATAATTCAGTATATTAATAATATAAATAAATTATTAATTAATTTCCACCAAATAATTTTTTTTTTTTTTTTAACCACAGTCAGGTCAGCATGGCTTGTCTTTATTATATATATATCAAATATTTACAAAATATTTTGACTTTCACATATTAACTCACCCGTTGTTGAAAAACTATTTCTCTAGATACAACTTAGAAAATAATAGTTCGCTCCTTTACTGACTTGAATAAATTCTCTAGTCAATAAAATTATTGTCACAGGTCATTACTATAAATTTCTACTAAATAATTTTATATAAATAAATCATTAATAAATTCTATTATATAATTCAATATTTATTTATTATATAATTTATACTATTTTTATTATATATTTCATTAAAAAAAATTTTTAAAAAATTATTAGATATCTATTAAAATTTCAATTTTATCAAAATTTTTATATTTATTGAATTTTTAATTATATGATTTAAAGAAACTACAACTAAATATTTACAAAAATTTTGTCAATTTGAAGTTTTATATCTAAATGAAATAAATTAATCAAAAATATTATAAATAAGAATTATATATTTGTATCTAATTGAGTAAAATTCAATATTTTACAATTTAATATTTGCGTTGTTTTCAGATTTGAAATAAAATCTATTTTTTGTTGAATTAATTGATTTGTATTATGGAATAAAGTCTAATCAATATTCAATAATATTATTTAGAAAGTTTATTAAATATATAAAGAAAAATTGAATTTGTCCTAGATATAAATTAATATTTCTATTATAATTTATAAATCAAGCTAATATAAGATATAATTCTATTGATTGAATACTATAAGACATCTATAAAACTATAGACTTTCAGAAGCTATTTATGAAAGATAATGAAAATTTGATAATTATTTGAAATAGAGCAGATCAATATAATAGATATTAAATTAAAAGTGAAATATTCGATTCTATTTAAAATTTCTAAAAAATAATTCTGAATTTTTATTTTTAAAAGTTTTTCAAATCTTGCTATTATAAATATTACATAAAAGTTTACCAATGCTTAATGGATTTATTCAATATCAAAGATTAAATTCAAAATTCGGATTTTGCTATATATTTAACAATTGATATTAAATAGAATAATATATAAAAATTAAATTGAACTAATTAATCATATTTTCATTTAATAATTTTGATTGTATAGATAGTAAAAAATTGCAAATTTTTCTTTATTTTATTGCTAAATCAAGAAATTCTATATGAATACACTTTATGATTAATAGCTGATTTTTTTTTGAAACTAAGTATATTATCTTGTCTATACAATTTGTGATATCTTTAATATATTACAAAACTAATAAACTGATCTGATAATTCAAGTATATTGTTGGCAATATATAAAGATTTACAAAAGAGTTCAAATTCTTTACTACTAATTTTAATTAACATTAATTTCATAAATTTTAGCAACTTATTTGTTGCACTATTTAATAAATTAAATCAAATTTATAGTTTATAATCTATAACAAAATCTATATAAAATAACTATCTGAAAATTTACTAAAATTAAATGAAAATTTATATTTTGAAACTAAATAATCTTCAAATATATTATTTATTTATTCATTATTATTCAACTTTAGATTTGTTATTTTTAGAATTTATATTATTCAATATCAAATTTATTGATTGTTACTTAATAACATAATATAATTTAATGAAATATTTCTTATTATATATTAAAATGTGAATTCTTTATTTACTGGATTATTGCTTTTTATTTTTTGATATCTATAGGAAAATTTTGTTGTAAGTCAATAAGTAATCTATTGAATTTACTATATTTATAAGTAATTTTCACTTTTTTAGGATTTTTTTCTTAAACTTTCATAAAGTAAAATTAAAATTGAACACTTTCTTGATATTTTTGAAAATTGATAAACAATAAAATAAAGTGGCAAAATTATTATTAATATATTAAATAGCTTTGAATTGTAATATAATACAAGAATAATATAATAAATAATATATAGTATACTATAGTATATAATTTTTAATTGTAATATAATATAATAAATAATAGAATAATATTGTATGCAATCCTAAATTATATTAAGATAATACAAATAATTTTATTTAAATAATTTTTTATTAATTTAATATTTTTTTTGTGATATATCTAAAATATTTAAACAAAAAAATCAATTGAATATGTTTTTTATAAAGAACAGCTGCCTTCAATTTTACAATCTTTACAACTTTTCTTATTATTACAAACTTCCTTCATATCAACTGTATCAGAAGCCGCAATAGTTTATTCAATAACACCTGATGCTAAATTTTTAATTCCTATTATGATAACTGAATTGCTTAAAAAAAGATTATCTGTTGTATTGCCTGAAATATTAGTATCCGAAGTTATATAAATAACAATACTGAAAGTTGAATTGCTATCAAAAACTCAAATTAAGGAGGATATTAAAAAAGATTAGAATTAAATTATTGCTAATTTATTAAAATTTATCTTTATTAATTAATCTATTTATTTAGAAAATAAATAATTATATATGTATTGTAGATCAAAAAATTAGAAAAAAAAATATCAAATTAATAAAACAATTAAATCTAATAGAGTATATTAATAACCAGTTTTCTGAAGAATCAAAATAACAAAAAATTAAAAAAAAATTTTAAATATGAAAATTGATTAGCTCAAATCTATAAAACTTAAACTTGATTTTATAGTAGTTATAGAATCTAGAGCAATCAAGATATTAGAATTTGAAAGTTCATTAAGTTTAAGTTTAAGAAAGTACTAAAGAATCCAACTTAGAAAAAATAGTAAAGAGATAAAACTAGTAAAGCTAATTACCAAAGATAAGTCAAAACTAGAAGAAGTGAAAGTAGAAATAAAGATTTTAATAAAAACCATTTTTAATAAATATAAACTGATAATAAACAAAGTTTTTTTAAGCAATATAAATAAAAAAATATTATAAAAATTAATATTCAAATTAATAAAATCCATGATCTTACATTTTAATTTCTCATAAAAGCAAATAAACAAATGGTTAAATACTTTATATTACTATCAAAAAAGAAGATATCAGAAGGCAGAAATTAGAAAATTGAAAGTGAACAATTGTCACTTATATACAAATAACTAATTAAATAAATAATATTTTGTATTTATACTATTTTCAAGTATTAATTTTTAATAAATAATTAAGAAAAGAATATGAAAAATTAAAAGTATATGGTCACTTATTAAGTAAAAATCTAAGAAAGTTGTCAAATATCAGAATAAATTAATAGATATAATTAAAAAAACAAAGATTTATTTACTAAAAAAAGTGATACTGATTTAAGAAATCTCATTAAAAAATAAATAAATAAATATAATTCTAGTTGGTATTCTGAAGAGATATTTTTCACCAAAATATTTTATACTGAATAATAATAATTTTAATTATAATTACTTATAGTTAAAGAATTTGTTTAAATATTTGAATAAACATTCAAAATCAATTCAAGTATTTTAATTGACTTATAAATAATATTGTGATAATTTGTATTAAAATTAAGGTCATCTTAATTATTTTTTCATCTTTATTTTCAGTAGTTGAATCGAGCTTTATTCCTTGCCATAGTTACATCAATTTGTTGATAATTAGATAAAGGTAATGATTGATTTGATGTAAACTTGGTTTACTAGAATCTGATAATATGCCAAGAATCAACATATTTTCATGTTTAAATTGTATTTTGCATAGTAAATTTGTAATAGTCATATATACGGTTGCTTCCAAAAGTTTGAGTCCACTTACTATGTTTTTATTATAAATTTCAACTTTGACAATTTTTAA